GCACAGCCCATGCCTTGGGGCAGGGAGAGTGGACATGTCCATCTGCATTCCTGTGAAGTCAGGCTGGGTGCACGCTCAGGAGAGTGAGGTGGTTTATGGGCATCGTGGAGAGCTGGGGCAGTCAGGTAGGAGAGACAGGCCTCCCTGGGGAGAGGGCCAAACCAACCTTTAGGAAGCCAGGCTTTTTCGGCTGTTGCTCACACACTCTCTGACTTCTGTTGGCAGAGCATCCCCTAAAGAGCACATGGAGGTCTGAGGGTGTGGCTTGATGGGTAGAGTACTTGCCTAGCATGCAGGAGGGCTGGGTTCAAGCCCCAGCACTGCATACAGTGGGCATGGTGGTACTTAATCAGTACTGGAGAGGTGGAGGCAGAAGGACCAGGAGTTCAGGACCATCTTTGCCTACGTGGAAAGTTCAGGGCCAGCCTAGGCTATACCAGACAGTCTCAAAAACAAAGAAAACTAATCCCCTGGAAAACCAAAGGCTTGCTTCCCACCTCCCACTCTGGCCCTGTGGACTCTTCCACGGATTATAGAAGAGCCCTGGGAGTTTTTTGCTAGTTTGCTCTCTGTTGCTTGGATAAGCAGCATGACCAAAGAAACGTGCGAGGGGAAGGGTTTATTTGGTTTACACTGCCAGGTAGTTGGTTGTCTGTTACAGAGGCAGGGTCTCAAGCAGGAACAGAGGCCAGGAGCTCTGGAGGTCACTGCTTACTGCCTTCTGTGCCCTGGCTGGTACTCAGCCAGCTTTCTTATGCAACTCAGGAGCACCATCCAGGGATAGCATGGGCCCATAGTGAGCTGCTCCCTCCCACATCAACCAGCAGTCAAGACAATTTCCCACCGACGTGGCCACAGGCCAGTCTGATGTGGGCAATTCCCTCAGTTGAGATTCCCTCTTCCCATGTGATTATGGTTGTATCAGATTAACAATTAAAATTAATTAGGATGGGCCTAAGAGACACAAACCCCATCGGTACCAGAAGTACCTACTAGAGGGACTGAGACCGAGGACAAATTCTTGACACAGTCACAGGCAGCTGGGGGACAAGTCCTTCCACCCAGCCGTCTGGAGTCATGTGGGATTCTAGACTTCCAGGAGATGGTCAAGCTTGACTGTTGCCCCTCTCCTTCCCTTGACAGGACAGAGTCTGAACTGCCCAAACCAGCATCCCCCAAGGTCAGCAGGAGTCCTGTGGAGACAGCTGCCTCAGCAGAGGACATGACTCGGAGGAGTAAGTTGGCTGTGAGGTAGAAGAGATGGACAGTGGGAAATCCTTTTCCAGGTTTGCTGCCTAGCACTCAGGACCCAGATTCCAGCTCTTAGTCCTTGGGTAGTTGATGCTGCCTGGCTGAGCCTCAGCTCCTTCCTCTGCAGTAGAGCTGTAACTGCCCTGACCTTGGAGAGCTTCGTGAGCTGGTACTTCAGGGGCTGTGCAGGGTTCTGGCACACAGAAAGTGCCAGGGAAAGGAAGTTGGTGTAAGTGTGGTCCAGAAGCCCAAGGACTAGAAAGGACAGGGCCAAAAGTATATTTAAAGGTAGAGGAAAGAGAGGGGTTTGGGAGGAGTCTGGAGGCTCCTGACATCCCCTGGCACAGGAATATGTCATTCTGGCCCAGAATGAATACGTAAGAGGCCAAGGGTCCACGTGGGAACTGGATCACTGGAGAGTCCCCAGGGTTTACTAAGCTGGGTGCGTCATGTGTAGCTAGAAGAGCAACAGAAGTCGCAGGCCACACGCCTGGAAGATGCGGCACTGCCAGAGTCACCAGAGCTGGCCCCAGCAGCTGTGAGAGGTTGGGGTGCCCCCCCATCTTACCAGTGAGGAAAGAGGCCCCAGGATGCAAATCAGCCGCCCCAGACACCCCAGTCCAGCAAGCCAGGGAATTCTGACCTCAGCTCCAGCTAGTCCCCACCTCTCCAGCTGCCTCACGAGGCTGGAGCTTGCCTGAGGAGCTGGGGCTTCTAAGACGCAGGCAGGACCCATGTGTCAATGGGGCCAGGCGGCATTTATATAATCCATAGATGTGATTGATGCCCACTTGACGCCCCGATTGTGCTAACCGGCGGCCATTTAGGGTTTATATTCTAGGGAGCGATGCAAGATAAAAATGGACAAGACAGTTTCAGAAGACAAGTCCTCTGAGGCCAGTGTTACTGGGAAAGGTGACCACATAACGGGTGGGGCCTGGGTCTCTACTTAAGCTGAGATGTTGAGGATCACAGAGCAGTGAAGAGATGTAAATGATGAGGACCCACTATAGAAAGAGACACCCCCTTTCACACATACAGAAGGAATGTACAAAGGCCCAGAGGTGGGAATGAGCATGTGGACGTACCCAGACACTGGAACCCCTAATTTTCCTCTGTTTCACTTCCTCCACAGCCAAGCGCCCAGCACCAGCCCGGCCTACCATGCCACCTCCCCAGCCCTCCAGTGCACGCTCATCCCCTCCAGCTCCACCCTTGTCCCCTGGTTCTGGCAGCCCTGGCACTCCTCAAGCTCTGCCACGCCGTCTGGTGGGAACCAGCCTCCGGGCTCCCACTGTGCCTCCGCCATTACCTCCCGCTCCTCCACAGCCTGCCCGGCGCCAGAGCCGGCGTTTACCAGCCTCCCCAAGCCCATCCTCCCCTGGCCTAGTCATTTCAAACATGCCTGCTCAGATAGACCAGGGAGCAGCTACAGAGGACAAAGGAAGCTCTGAGGCTATAGGTGGCCATCCCAGCCCCCCAGCTTTGCCACCCCAGCCCCGGCCCAGGGGTCTCACCTCAGAGACAGATTGAGCAGGCCCCTCCTGCCTGACAAGACCTCAGTGTCCCCTCTCCCCTTCCTTCCTTGTCCTCCCAGGACAGCCCTTGCCCTGTGCCTAGGTGCCTGCTGGGTCAGCCCCCATGATCAGGAGGGCTCAGGCCATCCCTCTACTTTCTGACCTATTCCTCTTTTCACTTCGAGCTTGTAGCCTCCCCCCTGACTTCCCACTCTCTGGCACGGTCTCAAGGGAGCTACTAGATGGAAGGATGGACCTGCCTGTTCCTACAGGACATTTATTTTTCTCTTGCCAATGTATTTTTGTAAGGCTCGTAAATAAATTATTTTTAACAAAACTGGAGCAACTGGCCAAACGAAAGCTTTCTCTCCTGGAGATACAGAATCTGCCTCCTTCCTGGTTTGAAGAGCCCTGTGCTTGGTGCTTTCTCGAAGCTGCTTATCTGAGAATGGGTCTTACCTGATAGTTTCTCATCAAAGTAATAGCACCATCTGCAGGTGAAGTTACTGAGGCCAGGGAGAAGGGACTGCAAAGGCGATGGCCCGCAAAGCCTGAGCGTGAGATGAAGTATGGGAAATTAGCTCTGAAGTCTGGGTTCTTCCCCCCACCCAGGGCAATTTGCTCATTGTCTCAGGGTCATGGCTTCCTCCTCTGGGACAGTCTAGCAATTCTACCCTATGTGTTCTGAAGACAAAGAGCTCACCCTGGCGAACGGCCCATTCAGCTGTACACCTGAGAAAATTTTGGGACTGGGCAGTCAGAAGTGACAGAATCATTAGCCTGGAAACCCAATTTGGTAGCCTAGTTAAAGGTGGGGTTTGCTGGAGGAGGAAACAGAATCATCCTGACGCTGGCCATGTGAAAATGCTGAAGGAAAAGGTAGGGACCTTCCAAGCCAAGGAGAGCAGCTTACAAAAGGCACAGAGAGCAGAAAATAGTTGGGTCTCAAAGGAATGGTTTTCCCTTGGTCTCTTAAGTTACTCTGGGGGTTAGACAGCTACAGTTCTGCTTAGAACCACAAAACTGAAGCAGGCAGTGGCTTTTACTCTCGGCACTCGGGACTGGCAGGCCGATCTCTTGAGTTCGGGGCCAACCTGGTCTACAGAGTGAATTCCAAGACAGAGCTAAAATGGAGAAGCCCTGTCTCAAGAAAAAAAACAAACCCCACAGAATTGTGACAATACAAACACCCATCCATTCCTCGTCTCCACACGTTGAACTAGTTGGTTATTCAGAGGCTTTCCAGATTAGAAGGCCCCATCTACAAAATGTAGACCTAGGCAGCTGAGGTCACACCATCAACAATGCAGGCAACGAATCGGCTCTGGTAACAAAAAGAATACTCTGGGCTGTAAATAAATAAGTAGATAAGTCTTTGGGTTCCAGCCTTCTGTCCATGAATTGGATTTTTGTTTGTTGTTTCTGGTTTTAGTTTTCCACGAGTTTCTGTGCATCCCTGGCTGTCCTGGAATTTGCTCTGTAGACCAGGCTGGCCTGGAATTCCGAGTGCTGGGATTATAGGCATGTGCCACCACCACCTGGCTAGAATGTTTTAAAATGTATTTGAGTGCGTGGATGCTCTTATGGAGGTGAGAAAATTTGCAGGAGTATGTTCTCTCCACTGTGAGGTCCCTGAAAATGGAACTCAGGTCCCCAGCCCTGGTGGCAAGTCATCTGCTGAGCCATCTCGCTGACCCTGCGCCCGTGTTTTTGAAATCATTTATCTAAAACCATCGAAGTGTACAATAAAGGTTATACATCTTACTAAATGTAAATTGTAACAAAAAACAAGTTCCCCGGGAATAGCCCAGACAGAACCCGCGAAGACAATGATGTGGCTTTTGCTCCACCGTATCCACATGTTTCTCAGGACTTGCTCAGAATCCAAGCGTCACTGGTTCCGAGGGCGACAAGATCTGGCCCGAAGACATCGCTTTCGGCCTCTTGTTTTCTTCCTAGCAACCAGCTGGCCTACGCTTCTAATTGGCTGGGAAGCGCGCGGCGATTCGCTCCAGACCAGGATGGCCCTCCATTGGCCCCCTCTTCCGGGTGCCGGCCGAGGTCCCGCCCCCTTCTCCGAGCTCCTTCGGGATCAGCGAGGGCCCTCGACTAGGCGCTCGCCGCTATTGGCTGAGGCCTGCGGCCGTAGCCCCGCCCCCGGCCCTTTCCGCGCGCGCCAATTGGTGGAGCTGGCCCGCGGCCGCGCAGGGAGCGCAGGGCGCGCGTGCGAGCGGCCAGCCGGCTGCATGGCGCGCTGCGAGCGGCTGCGCGGCGCGGCCCTGCGCGACGTGCTGGGCCAGACGCAGGGCGTCCTGTTCGACTGCGACGGGGTGCTGTGGAACGGCGAGCGCACCGTCCCGGGCGCCCCCGAGCTGCTGCAGCGACTGGCGCGAGCGGGGAAGGCCACGCTGTTCGTGAGCAACAACAGCCGGCGCGCGCGGCCCGAGCTGGCGCTGCGTTTCGCCCGCCTGGGCTTCGCGGGGCTGCGCGTCGAGCAGCTCTTCAGCTCGGCTCTGTGCGCCGCGCGCCTGCTGCGCCAGCGCCTGCCGGGGCCGCCCGACGCCCCAGGCGCCGTGTTCGTGCTGGGCGGCGAGGGGCTGCGAGCCGAGCTGCGCGCCGCGGGGCTGCGCCTGGCGGGGGACCCCGGCGACGAGCAGCGCGTGCGCGCCGTGCTCGTGGGCTACGACGAGCACTTCTCCTTCGCCCGGCTGAGCGAGGCGTGCGCGCACCTGCGCGACCCCGACTGCCTGCTCGTGGCCACCGATCGCGACCCTTGGCACCCGCTCAGCGACGGGAGCCGGACCCCCGGTGAGCTCGGGGGCCGTGGGGCGCGGGGACGGGCGCAGGGGCTTCCGGCCGCGGCCGCCCGTGGGGTAGTGTCCGAGGACCCGTTTGCCAGGCGAGCCGGCTGAGGCTCGCTGTGTCTTAGGCAGTTACTTGCAGCTTGCATCCAGGTCTGGCTGCAACTGGCCTCCGGGGCTTTTGGCGTTGGCCCCACCCACTCTGCAGGTGGGCGGCCTAGGAGGATGGTTTGCGCACCTCCAGAGTCAGGATGGAGACCTGGAGCGGAGTGAAGCTTGACCCCAGTTCCGTTTCTGGCCCCGCTCGGTTAACCCCGTGAGTTACATAACCTCGGAGTATTCCTGCCTGGGTGCGAGTGTGGCCCTTCGCCATGCCTGTCATCCCAGGGCTCCTGACCGAAGGAGCTGGTAGCCAGCCCTCCCGTTTGTTGATAGCTTCCGGTCATGCTGCCCTTGTTTCCTTTCCAGATCACTGCAAAAATGAGAGCGTTGGCCCATTTCTCGGTTAAAGAAATCGAGGCTCAGAGAGGGGGAGCGAGAACACAGTGACCATAGAGCAAGGGAACCCGAACGAGGCAGGAGCAGTGAAAGCTGGGATGAGTCGGGAAGTGGGAGGCGGCAGAGACTGGCTAGTAGGGATGAATGGATGTGGACAGGTTTGGTTCTTCAGGATGTGGCCCTGACGTATCTCCCGCTCCACTCTGCTAGCCTTCAGCCCAGATAGACCTGGGAGAGGGTGAGGTGGTCACCGGGCTGTGGTGAGGCAGTGAGGCAGATGTGTGTGGAGAGGATCTGGGAAGCCTTCCCGGAGGAGGCATGCTGCAGGGCCGGGTGACAGTAAACTAGGAGCTGTTGGCATACAGTCAGGATGCTGTGGCTGAAGAGGAAGCTATTGTCTGGGCCCTTCCTGGCCCCTGGCTCTGCCTGAGACCTGCTTGCCACCTCGTTGCCTGATCCTTCTCACTGTCACGGCTCCACCGTGCCACTGTCAGGTCTGATTTCCCACAAGGCTTGGGTTGAGGCTGTGGAACAAGGGTTTCCAGGGTGCCTGAGGGTTGGTGTGAGGAGCTTGGGAGATGCTGGCCGTATCCCCAGGCCTCTGCAGGAACCCTCATGCCTTTTCCAAATCCGCCTAGCTGTACTCAGCCGACCTGCTGGTCACTCGAACTGCCTGGAAGGGGGAGGCAGAGCTCTGACAAACCCAGGCTTGCAGCCACATTGGTGAGTGCTGCAGCTTCCAGAGCTGTAGCTTCCAGAGCTGTGAAGATATTTTTTTTAAATGCCTGCCGCTTGTGTGCCATAACCCAGGAGCATACAAACAGTACGAGCGAGGGTCCCCGTTCGGCGTCAGGTCTGAAATAACGTGGGACCCCCCTCCCCAGCTCTCCCTCTTCACCGCAGGCCTGTGAAATGTGTGCGTGTTTGCCACAGGGTAGCCACCCCGAGCTATCGAGTAGAGGTGGCCACCACTGCAGGAGTCTGTCATCACACACAGCAGCCTTGAGTTGGGTACATCCCCTACTGGGATGATTGTTGCCTGGCCATCATGTTGACCGTATTGAGCCTCAGTAAATCTCAGCTGGATGACAGACATGAGGCAGGGGTTCCCAACAGCTCCAGCTCTGTCCTGGCGGCTGGGAAAGGGGAAGACTCCACTGGGCACAATCTTTATTTACTTTTGTGTTTTTGAGACAGGGTCTCAGCCTTGGTCTGCCTCCCAAGTGCTGGGGTTAAGGTATGAACCCCACCCCTACCACCTGCCTCCAGTAGACTGGAGCTCAGTGTTGCCCATACTGGCCTTGAACTCCTGATCCTCCTGCCTCAACCTCCTAAGTGCTAGGAATATAGCTGTATGCCTCCATGCCCAGCTCGGGCCCATTCTTGCACTGAGGGAAAAAAAAAAAATTCTGTAGGGTGACTTGGCAGAGTCTCTGGTCCTAGAAGAAGGAACTTCTAACCAGGTAGCTCTTTACGTCCTATGAACAGAAACAGGGCTGAGGTCTGGTTTGGTGGTGCACGATCTGGGCTCAAGCCTCAGTGCCATCAGAGAGGTGCAGGTGTCAGGAGGACAATGAAGTGGAGCCTTTCTCTCTGGAGGTTCAGTTTCTCTCTCTCCCTCTCCCTGTCTTTTTTCCACACAAAGTTTCTCTGTGTAGCCTTGTCTTTCCTGGAACTCACAGAGATCCCCCTGCCTCTGCCTCCCAGGTGCTGGGATTAAGGGTGTGCACCACCATGCCCAGCTCTGAGCAAGTCTCTAATGTCACAGAGCCTCAGCTTTCTCATCTGTGGAATGGGCTTTCAAGAGTATACCAAGTAAACGGCGCTTCTCTTCGTTTAGCTGTGGATGTTGGCGTAAAGGCAGAATGTTCTGGCCCAGAGACAGGCCTGTGAGCAGGAAGGGAAGACTCACTGTGCCAGCAGGATGGTGCTGCCTGGGAGGCAGCACCTGAACAGACCTCCTGTTGTACACTCAGGCTTCTTCCCTGACCTTGCTTGCTTCCCATGGTCACTGTGGCCACAGGCATCTTCCAGCTTGTCGCTCTTTGTCTCCAGCTGGAATTTTCTCGAGGGGATCGTTTTTCCCTGCAGGGCTGACTCGGTCAGAGGTGTGGACGTATCTGTGCCTTGCTGCATTCCAGGCGGGTGGTGCGGATTTTCCATGCCGCCTCTTGAGCTCGGCTTCTAAGAGCAATACCCACCATTGCTGTCTAAGTGCGTTTCCGCTTATAAAGTGACTCCCCGTGAGGCCCCCAGCATCCCTTCACGGGAAGTGTTACCACAGTTCAGAGAAAGTCAGAGAGGCCGAAGGGCTTAGAGGACACCCAGAAGGTGCGTGCCATTGCTGCCTTCACTATCGATTGAGAAACTGAGGCAGAGAGTGTGTCCAGAGCAGCCGTGATCGAATCAGAATTCAGGTGTGTGGCACAGGCAAGGCCTTCCCGTTGACCGAGTGTCCCCTCCTCGCCCGCAGGTACTGGAAGCCTGGCCGCCGCCGTGGAGACCGCCTCAGGGCGCCAGGCCCTGGTGGTGGGCAAGCCCAGCCCCTACATGTTCCAGTGCATCACCGAAGACTTCACGGTGGAGCCCGCCCACACCCTGATGGTGGGTGACCGCCTGGAGACCGACATCCTCTTCGGCCACCGCTGTGGCATGACCACCGTGCTCACCCTCACGGGTGTCTCACGCCTCGAGGAGGCCCAGGCGTACCTGGCGGCCGGCCAGCACGACCTGGTGCCCCACTACTACGTGGAGAGCATTGCGGACTTGATGGAGGGGCTGGAGGACTGAGGCCGCCTCCCCCTCCCCCGATCCCGGACATGGCCGCCGACCGTGAGCCACGCTCAGCACTGGGCTCCCTGGCACAGCTGTCCGTACCCCAGTGAAGGGAGGCTGGGAGCCAGGAAGGCTTGTGGGCCCTCGAAGCCCTCCCAGCAGTGGCTGGACACTGCTCGACAGAAGCTGGCCCCCCACATCTTACAGGTTCACCCTGGCCCGTCACCTCCCCTCCTTGAACTATATATGGGCCCCAAAGCCAAATGGAGAATTCTTCCCCCCCCAACCCTGAGTACTTAAGTTCATCCCCTTCTTTGGGACCTCTAGACTCTGTCCCTAGGTCCTTGTCAACCAATCAGAGGTCTCGGGAACTCTAGCCCGTTGCCAGCCTGAATGGGCCTATGGAGGAACAGCTGCTGGTAGTGACTGGTGCATTAGTGTCTCACTGTGGGCCTTCAGTGGGCCAAGTAGGAACTCAAAAGATGCCTTGCACCTCTGGGAGCCCCAGAGCACCAGTCACAAGGCTGAGTGACACTGATCTCTGAATGTCCACCAGGAGGACAGTTACAATCCACTGGCCTCTTAAATCCCAAATAGCATAATCCACAAGGGCCAAGAGACAGGGCCCTTTTGACAATCCTTGCTTGACCGGATCAGCCAAGGGACCAGGTCCTACAAGGCAGAGTGATGGGTGCCTGTACTTACAGCGCTTAGGAGGCCGAGGCAAAGAGGATTGCCTCTTTGGTTGGCTAGCTGCAGCGTGAGGCCTCATCTCAGAAAGACAAAAGGCCAACTTCAAAGTCCTCCCCTTCCACGGACTGATCAGCGGGCCCCTCTGGTCCTGGGGTGGTGTGGAGAGGCCCCCACTCCCACCATAGTACCGTCCACAGCTTGGAAGGGGGCCCTTACGTTGTCCCGGCCTGCAGTCAGTGTTAGCTGTGCCACTTGTCTACCTGCCCGTCCCCAGCTATTTATTTGTTTATTTATTGTGTGCCAGTGAAGGTGGGGGCAGGGCGGGACCTTCCCACCACCCCCACCCCTGTTGTAACCAGTCCTTGAACTTAATAAAACGTGAGTGGGAGTGTCTATGCGTCACAGTCTGTGGGATGGAGTCCTGCCTGAGCCTGCCTGCCTGAAGCGCCGGCCCCACCCCTACCTCCCGCAAGAAGGGATGCCTCCCACAGCACTTTCTCAGCACAGACCGACTGCTGCGCTTGTAGCATCTCCGAGTCCTTATGTGTCAGTTTGTTTCAGTCCTTTAAAGACCCACTGTTGGGCCGAGCATGGTAGCACACATCTTAAATTCCAGTACACGGGAGACAGAAGCCGGTGGATCTACAGAATGAGTTCCAGAATAGCTGGGCTGTTAACACACAACAGTTTTGGGCCAGGAAAAGTTAGTTACTGAGTTGTAAACTGCTTGCTTTATAAGCCAAGGGGCCAAAGTTTGGTCCCCAGAACCCACAAAAAAAATGGCAGATGTGAGGCTAGAGAGATGGCTCAGCAGTTACGAGCACTGACTGCTCTTCCAGAGGACCTGGGTTCATACCCCGGCACCCACATGCCCGCCCACAACTGTAACTCCAATATCTGACAGGACCCTCTGACACGTGACACCCTCGCACAGACACATGGAGGCAAATAGTAGTTACATAAATAAAAATTAAGAACCGGGTGTGGCATTCACTTGTAATCCCAACACAGGGGAGACAGAGACTGGTGGCTCCTTGGCGCTCACTGGCCAGCAAGTATCTAGCCTGTCCCCAAACAGTGGATGGCTGTGGGGGGGGGGTTAGTGCACGCCTTTAATCCTGGCACTCGAGAGGCAGGCGGATCTATGAGTTCAAGGCCAACCTCGTCTACAGGACAGCCAGGGCTACAGAGAAGCCCTGTCTGGGGATTAAAAAAAAAAAAAAAAAGTTGTTGCTGGAGGGGTGACACTTGGGGGACTCTGGCCTCCACATAACACATGCACCCACAGGGACACGCAGCTACATCATGACCTAGTTCTTAGGAAATAGGTATTTGGAGGGCAGGGATGTCGCTTAGTGGTAGATCAGATGCCTCCTGTGCCTCAGGTGCCAGCACCATCAAGAAAGAAATGTGATGTGGACTCAGACCAGGGCGCACAGCTTATCTTTGCTTTGAACTGGAGACAGGCATTTGCCCAAAAGGCTGCAGTCCTCTGGAGAGTATAGGAACAGGAGGGCACAGGATGAGGTTCCCACCCTCAGATCCCCCCCCCCCTTAACTTTTAGATAACGTAGCATTATGCATTCCTTAAAAATCTCTCAGGCTGCAATTTCTTTGAAGGATGACTCATTCCCACTTGCCTCTCCCCGCTCCGCAGCCTTCAACCCTTTATCACTGCAATTCATCAGAATAGGCTCTGTGAATCCACAATCCATTTGCTTCTCTATCTACTGTGTATGATAGATTTCACACACCTCACGTGACACCAGCATTCCTCAGGGCGGTAATCTAGCGCTTTTTTCATCCTTCAAGGCAAAGTGCAGGACCTTGTCTGAAAAAAAAAACCAAAAGCACCACTGTGGTGACGGCCCAGTGAGCACAAACTGCTCTTGCCCTCAGATTGACAGCTCAAAACCACCTGTGACTCCAGCTGCAAGGGATGCTCTGTTCTGGCATCTCTGACAGACATACAAACACATAAAGAAAGAAAAAAAAAAAACCTGCTGGATGTTGGTGGCACACGCCTTTAATCCTAGGACTCGGGAGGCAGAGGCAAGTGATTCTCTGAGTTTGGAGACCAGCGTAGTCTATAGAGCGAGTTCCAGGGTTCCAGGACAGCCAGGGCTACACAGAGAAAACAACCTCAAAAAACAAAACCCAGTCATCTTTGAAACTAAATGAAGGCCCAAGAGGAGAGTGATTTAAAACCCATGAAGGCACAGCATGAACTCTTTTATAGTTTTGTTTACATACTGTTTAGGGGAGAAAGAAAAGGCATTGGCCCTTAGGATCCAATGGGCTGACTCACCCCTAGGAAGACCTGGAAATTCAGAGGAAGAAAAGCCTAACCTTCAAAGTCTTTCAAATATAATGGAAGGTTTGAGACTACTCCAGTTAGCATTGTTGTGGATAGAAACATGTTTTTGTTTTATTCCCAGGTAGGGGATGTGGGACTGATTCAGATGGTCCACAGCAGCAGACTATTTGCCTCATGCGGGCTCTGAGAGGAGCTCTTTGCCAGCTGCACATAGTTTAAATCTGAGGACTCTGGAGAGAGAATAAATGCCAGAGCCTAGAGAGTGTGGGGAACTCTAAGAAAGAACAAGGCGGCTGCTGCTGCTTCCCCACTGTGGCTCCTGGTTTCTGCTGATGCAGTGAGACAAGAAGCTGGAGGTCTCCTGAAAGGAGGATGGGACTGGCTCCAAGGAACCAGACAACCCTAAGCAGCAGGAAGCAGCTAAGAGAACTGCACCCCCTCTCCCACTAACCCTTTCTCTCTCCTACCTAGTGTTGGGGTGTTGGAAGGGATTGAGTTGGAGTAGGGAGAAAGAGACATAGGAAATATAAGTTTAAAAGTTTTTAAAAGTTCACCAACATAATATCCCATTGAGTACAGTAAACACTGATTTCAGCATTGCAGTAATTTTGAAGATTATAAGCATTTTTCTTGCATGTATATATGTGCATGATATATACACACATATGTATATATGTGTGCCTGGTGCCCATGGAGGTGAGAAAAGGGTACTGGACTCCGTGGAACTGCAGTTACTGGAAGTTGTGAATCCCCAAGTGGATGCTGGGAAGGAGATACACCCTGGGGATGTCTATGCTGATGTTTCCAGAGAGATTTAGCTAAAGAAGGAAAACCAACCCTGACGGTGGGCAGAATCATTCCACAGGCTGGAGACCCAGACTGAGACAAAGAAAGAGTTTTGAGCCCAATAGTCCTCTCTCCCTGCTTGCTGACAGCAAACACAATGTGACCAACCATCTCACACTTCTGCCATGTCTTCCTCCCCATGGTGGACCGTTTCCCCTCAAACCATGAGCCAAAATACACCTTTCCTTCCTTCCTTTGGTTGCTTACCATGTCGTCACACCAATTAGAATCAGTTGCTGTGGGAAGTGGGGCTGACATTCTGAGGAGCCTGAGCACACGGTCCACAGATCTTCTGAACTGGTTTATGGGAGGAATAAGGAAGAGTTGGGAGCTGCTGGCTAGCGAAGCTCAAATGCTATAAACAGAGCTCAATGGGCCATTCTGGTGAGAGTTCACAAGACCAAAGTGCAAAGAGAAAGGTGAACAGTAAACATTGTGCTCAGGGGCTGGAGAGATGGCTCAGAGGTTAAGAGCACTGCTTTGCTCTTCCAGAGGTCCTGAGTTCAATTCCCAGCAACCACATGGTGGCTCACAACCATCTGTAATGGACTCTCATGTTCAGGTGTACATGCAGGCAGAACATTGTATACATAATAAAATAAATAACTTTAAAAAAAATACTGTGCTCAGGAGGTTTCAGAGGGGTCTGGGGACGGGTCCCTCGCTCAAACACCACCCCGAGGGAAGAGTATCCTAGGTCCACCTGCCAGGGCACACAAGATACACTACCCCTATGGTCAAGAGGCAATTCAGCAGCATCTGCGTGGTTTTCAAGCATGCAAACTTCACAAGGTTATGGAGGCTGCGGAAAACAGCCAGGCCGGGCAATGTATGGCAAGGTTAGAGTCCCTGAAGGGAGGCCCTAAGAGACCGTTGTTACTTGAAACTATGAAAGTTAACTGGGACTGTGGAACATCTGCTGAAGAAAGGTTCATGGCTGGCTCAAAAGATAGGCTACAAGTAAATGAGAGTGGGCGGGGTTACAAAAGGGTATTAGAGCCCAGATGATGCCACTAGAGTCCCAGATGCTAGACAGGAAGCTGCAGCGTTTGGTATTTTCTCCAATGATTTTCAGTCTTGTTTGCATCTTCCCTTTGGGGGATGGGAATGTTTACCACTGTATGCTGGAAACAACTAGTTTTCTAAAATTTTATAAGAATTTTTGGCTAAAAATGCCTTGAGTCTCAGGAGAGCTTTTGGACTCTGGGCTTTCAAAACAGTGTTAGAACTGTTTCAATTTTTAGAGATGGACTACATGTATTTTGTGTTAAGAGGTAAGTTGTGGGGGGGCGCTCAGTGGTTAAGAGCACTGCCTGCTCTTCCAAGGGTCCTGAGTTCAATTCCTAACACCTACATGGTGGCTCACCACCATCTATACTGGGATCTAATGCCCTCTTCTGGCATGCAGGTGTACATGCAGAACACTCATACATAAAATATAAATAAATAAATTTAAAGAGGGGGAGAGAGAGAAATTTGAGACTTTGGGGCCGGAAGTGAAGTGTTGTGTATTAAAGTGAAGCATTTGGGTGTCAGGTTGACAAGAAATGGATTATGGTTGTTCATCCTCACTGTCAACTTGACAGAGCTTAAAAGCACCCAGGAAGTGGGCTGGAGAGATGGCTTGGAGGTTAAGAGCGCTGACTGCTCTTCCAAAGGTCCTGAGTTCAATTCCCAGCAACCACAGAGTGGCTCACAACCATCTATAGTAAGGTCTGGTGCTGGTGCCCTCTTCTGTCATGCGTGTGTTACACGTAGGCAGAATACTCTATACATAATAAATTAAAAACAAACAAACAAACAAACAAACAAAACACCCAGGAGCATACCTGTGAGGATGTTTCCAGAGAAGTCTAACTGATGAAGCAAGTCCCATCCTGAATCTGAGTAGCCAGGGGGGAAAAAAGGGAGAAAGTGAGGTGAATGACAGCATTCATTTCTCTCTTCCCAATTTTAGTATATGTGCTGCCAAAGCAAGCACCATCTCTCTCTTCCCAAGCCAACACAAAGTGACCAGCTACCTGGCGCCCCTGCCACTATGCCTTTCCTGATATGATGTACTATGTCCCCTTAAACCATAAGCCAAAACAAGCCCATCCTCCCTTGAGTTGCTTTTTTGGTCAGGTGTTCTGTGATAACCGTGAGAAAAGTAACTAATCCAATAACAATTTCAAAGTAATGTGTTAAAGCATAGGCCTGAGCCTCGGAGGTTGGGGCCTGTGATCAGAAGAGGGCAGACCCCAGGTGGGAAACAAACTGGACAGGAAAGGTGGCTGCCTGGAATGGTGGGGCAGTGGGCAGCAGCAAGGAGGTACAATGGAGAAGTACAATGGGGTACCAGCACAAGCTAGCAGAGGGTATCTGCAGTTGGGGTACAGCCCCCACACTACCCTCCTACTCTTCATGAATCCACTTTCAAAATCCAGGTCCGTGCTGTTCTCCTCAGCCCCAGCTCCCTGAGGGAGCACAGCCAAGTGCCCTCCCTCCCTCTCTGTTTTCCACATCCTTAAAGTGCACCGTGAGATGTGGGGGAGCAGGTCAGGCATGGTATGTTTGGGGTCCCTCCCTGCTCTGACTTCAAGGACTGGGTGTTGGAGCCAGCACGGTGGGTGCTGTGGCTGTGCTGTGGCTGGTACCCTGTGTTCCACGGCTCACTGCCAGTGCTGGCTGCAGGAAGCACAGAGTGTCAGGGCTGGGCCGGAGCTGGAGGGCCAGGAAGGGCCTTGCTGGCTGGGACTTGTATGGACAAGCTAAACCCAGGTCCACAGGGGCTAGGCTGCAGGACAGAATTCCAGAGCACTCTGCTGGCTGCTACAGGACTCGAGCCTCAGGGAGAATCCCCAGGGCTGGGCTTTGGCCTTAGGGAATGAGGGAGGGAGAAAACATTCTAACTCCATACCTGTGATCCTCAGCTCAGCCAGGAATAATTGACAGACTGAACCTTCCAGGATCTGGACATTATTCAAACAGCCAAGGCCTTGGGTGACAGCCTCCATCCATGCTGGCCTCTGCTCCTCACCCTGCCTCTGTTCCTCACCTTGCCTCTGCTTGGGATCTGGCCGCAGCTACCGTTCCCTGGGCAGAGGTTCACAGAGGAAGGCAGATACCACAGAGAGATGATATGCTCAAAGGAGATAGGCTATGAAAGCAAGGCGCCGGGCACCGGGCCTGACAGATAAGTGGGTGCCACCAGCAGGAGGACCCGAGGACTTCTGGGAAAACAAAGAAGGGATTTTATCTCTGTCCACCCTGCCTTAAAAAAAAAAAAAAAAAAAAATTAGTGCCTGTTACAGGGGACATTAGCATTGGACAAATCCATATCACAGCTCAGGTGGGAGAGGAGCAGGAAAGGGTCTGCCAGACATCAAGGAAGGTAACCTCGAAAGAATGGACAAGAGGACTATAAAACCTGACCTCAGCTAGGCATGGTGACTCACACCTGTTATCCCAGGCAGGACTGCTTCAAATTCCAGACCAGCCTAGGCTACAGATTAAGACACACAAAAAAAGTCACCTAGAAAGTGCCACAGCCCTGAGTCCTACCCTAAATCACCCTCAGGTAGGAAAGCTGGACATCACACATGCAAATGGAGAGAATGAATAAGCAGGGCTAGAGGCAGAACCTGAGTCTTCAGTCCCCAGTCAGACCTTAAATGTTCTTTCAGGGAATGTCTTTTTATATAATGTTTGGAGTTTTTTTAGGGGCTCTAAATTTTTGTTCACTCTGTGCAGGGATTGTACGATTTTCAGGTTTTACAATAATATTAAATGAAATTGGAAATTCATCTTGTCCTCCTGTTTGGTGGGCACAAATATAATACTTATCATATTCTGAATATAATCTAGAATTATGTATATTCCATGTAGTCATATTAACATTTACATGTGGTGATATTAATAATGAATAAAAAGTGATATCTTTTTTAACATCAAACTCAGCTATTTTTAAAGATGTTTGATTGACATAATAATGTCTATTCTCTGTTGCCTTTTTTGGAATATTTATTTCTAGTGCTGTTACATATGACCAATCAGGAAACATAATTGGTATGTGTGTTGGATTATTTGGAATAAATAAAAAAAAAATTTCCTTCATTCCCTGTATTGTTCCATAATGTTACATTATAATTGATATGTATAATACTATAATGTGTTACATTATTATATCCCCTTTTATTTAATAAAATTGTCTAATTAGTGTTCTATATTCTATCTAATCTATTCTACACTAATCTAGGGTAATCTAGCATAATAGTCATTTGTCTTATTTCTTCTAATGGACTCTGTCTATTTGATCTGGGTCTATTATTTAATTCTATACATGCTAGTTTTAAATCTTTCTCTAAAGGAGGATTTTGGTTTAATAATTTAACTTGTAACAGGCCATTAAATCTTTCAGTGGCTCCTGCAGCTGTTGGGGTATATGCCTTATGGAAATTCCATTGTCTATCAAGTTGTTTAGCTCTTCTTTGGGTGTCTTTACCTGTAAAGTGTTTTCCTCGATCTGATTGTATTACTTCTGGAGTTCCTAGCATGGTACACCATGTTAATATTGTTAAAATTGCACCTTGTTGATCTGGATGTGGTGATGCTCTTGCGAGTCCCAATCCTGTCCATATATCTACCACTGTACATGTATATTTATTTTTAAAATTCGTCAATGGTCCAGTATAGTCAATTTGTACTGTCTTATTTAAATGTAGTTTGTGTCCTACAATTCCTCTACAATTGTGTCTAAAGCTCGTTTTGTGATGCTGGACAGTCTTTACTTGGCTGTAATGCCATTTAATATCTGTTCTACGTGCCTTAAGATCCCTCTGTTTGAACCACTGATCCATGGGATGTGGTCCTCTATGGCCTATGCTCTTATGTAACTGTAGAGTCTCTTCTCTACTTATAGGTATATCCTGTGTGTATGGCTCTTGTATTTTCCAGTTTCGTTTTAATTTAATCTTTCCATCCCTGTTCTCTCCTACTTCCCATAATGGTTTCAACTTAATTACCTGTAATACCTTGGAAAGTTTATCTACTATATCATTATTTTTGGAAGTCTCATCTTGTTTCTTTGTATGTGCATCTATGTGTGTTACTCTAATCTTTACTTGTTTGGCTATCTCATCTAATTCTATCCATGTTTTTTTGGAACAAATATCTTTACCTCCTAGCTTCCATCCAGCTAGTTTCCATTTTCCTGACCAGATAGCTATTCCATTAGCTACACACTAGGAGTCTGCAAATATATACAGGTATTTTGTTGGTTGTTTTTTTTTTTTTTTTAAGAGATTGTCTGGCAGCTAATAATGCTGCTATGACTTCTACATGTTGAGCTGATTTTTCTGTGCCTTGTTCAGATATAACCATGCCATCCCCTAGTCTGTAGGCTGTTGCTTTCCAGTGTGTTTTATTGTTCATGGTGGTTGATGAACCATCCGTGAACCAGGCATTAACCAAAGTGGGGGAGTATTCCTCTGTGCCCCATTGCCCCATTGGCGTTTGTTTTGGGGGAGGGGAGATGTTTGGGAAGGTCATGCCTTCTGGAGTCATGGGGCTGTTGGTCTGTAGTATCGACTCCGACATCTTTGACGCCGTCCCCTTTGCATGCAGAGGTACAACCCGAAGGAATTCCGACAGGTACCATTTCCATTGTAGCACCTTTCCCGCCATGGGTAGACCAGCCCATGCCTCTCCTGGTGCCTTTACCCAGTCTAGCAAGGGCATCGGTGTTCGGATTGTCACCAAGTTCTGTCTCAACAGAGATTGCACTGTTCTTATGGCCTCATATAAGGTCCATATTGTTTTTTCAAACAGCGAATATTTGTTTTCTGACCATGGGAATTTTTTGGTATGAAATCCGATTGGCCTTAGCACATTTTTATTTTTTGTAAAGATGTTCCAATTACCATATCCATGCATATATAATTTATCAATAATAACTTCATCATTTTCCTGTGTATATGTCAGAGCCTGGTATTGTTTAATATGGTCTAATGTTAATTTCAGTGCATCTTCCTGTTCTGTGGTCCATATAAAGTCCTGTGCTTTTTTTGTTATTTTATACAGTAGTTGTAGAATTACTTGTAAATATGGGATATGCTATCTCCAATAGCCAAATAATCCTATTAGGTGTCGTACTTCTGTCTTATTTATAGGTACCTTGAGTGTTTCTAATTTATTTATCACTTCCTTTGGTATTTTTGGTCTATCTGTTGACCAGCGGATTCCTAAAAACTTAACCTCTTGTGCTACTTCTTAAATTTTATCCTTATTAATAGTCCATCCTTGATCTCTAAGATGTTGAATTAGCCTCTCTAGTGTGTCTTGTACTTCCTCTTTTTCCTCTCCAAAAATAATAATATCATCTATATATGTCAAAATAGCTGCCTTTGAATCCTTAAAATCTTGTAATTTTAATTGTAAAGTGTTATGGGGCTATTACTGGGCTATTTAACCCTGTGGTAATCTTAAAAATTTGTATTGCTGCCCTTGCCAAGAGAAAGTCGTCATCTCTTGGCTGTCTAGGTGCAATGGGACTCCAAAGAACATATCTGACAAGTCCACAGCTGCTAGCCATTTGGGTGCGGCCCATCTTGTCTTATCTGTAAGAATATGTCCTGAACTGGCCCAGGCTGAGACGGGGTCTCGCTATATGTCTTCTACACTAGGTAAGTTTCCTGGCATTTTAGGGCTAATTTCATTAATTCTTCTATCATCCACTGTAAATCTCCATTTGCCATTTGGTTTAAGAACTGGCCATACTGGAGAATTGTAATTAAACGATTGTGGTTTTTTTATAATTCTTTCTTTAATAAGTCCTTGATAACTTCAGTTATTTCTTTAATTCCTCCCTTAATAGGATATTGGTTTGTAAAGGAAGGTTTAATTTTTGGTAAATGTACTGGGTCTATTTTAACTTCTGCTAAATTACAAGCATGTTTTTGAATTGTTTTGTAATTTTAAAAAGTAGGAAAAAGCCTATTTATCTCCTTAATTTCTAATACATTTTGTGGAGCTGCAAAGCTTGCTACTTCTATCTTAAATTCCTTATCATATAATTGTAAACTAATATTAATAAGAGGTACCTTAGTTACTGAATTTAGTCCTTGTATATTAATATATCTTTCAGTTTTAAAAGTATCTTGAAATATATTTATAATTGATATATCACTTCCAGTATCTAGTAGCCATTTTATGGGTATCAGTTTGTCTTTCACCTTAATGGGTAGACACACCATAGGTCTATATTTCTGTTCATTTATGCAGAAAAGCGTTTGCTTTGTCCTTTCCATCTCCGGTCCCTTGGCTTCCCAGGGTCCCGAGGGTCTTTGGCTAAAAAAGGCTTTTTAGGCTGGAAGTTAGGTCTTGAATATATGGTTTTGGTATTTTGTGTTGGTTTAGAACGGCTGTTTCCCCAGGCGTTTATTTGTCTTCCTACCACCTTATTAAACAGTCCTGGTTTAGTTTTCTGTATTAAAGGTCTAATTGGCATCCTATTCCCGTTTCCTAATCCAAATGGTTTTATTCTGGCTAAATTTTTAAATGGTTTGGGGGGGGGGTTAGTTTTTTTTCTGTGTTTTTTTATTTGCTTGAAAGCTAATTACCTTCTCTGTATCTAGTTCTCTAAAATTCTTAAAATAGATTATAGCCTCTGCTATAGTCTGGACATTTTGTAATGGTCCAGCCAAGCTCATTTTTAAGTGACTTAGTGCTCCTAAAATGGCATCTTTCATGCCATTTTGGGCATATTTCCTCCTTGATTCAGACAGTTCCTGTGGAGTGAACAGTCTAGATTCCCTTATCTCTACTTCGGTGCGAGTTTGCAGTCTACCCCTTGATCCTGTTCCTGTCTCTGGCGAGCAAGAATTGCTAGGAGGAAAGGGGTTGAGGCAATCAACCACTCTTTCCAATTTGGGAGTGTGTTTAGTGGTGGTTTCCACCAGAAACGATGGAACCAATCCAGAGTTGGACTCGGGGTAGCTACTCCCAGTCCTTCTCTTTATTATATTTATGGCTAGCCTTTTGCCCACTTTGAATTTGGTGGGTTAAAAATAATTTTTTCAACCAATTTATCAGCTTTTCTTTCAATTCTTTTGGCCAACCAGCGCCTCATTTGTTTCTATGGCATCCAACATTCTCCTTCCGCTCTCAACCTGCACCTATATCTCCAGCCTTCAGCATCCCAAAAGGCCTCTTCCTCCAGGTCAAAGACCCAGAGTTGGGCTCAGGCATCCGTTTTAGCCAAAGTCAGGTGTTAGTCACCTTCAGCCTACCTCGTCCCAATTACCTCTTCCTCCAGTCTCAGAGATCCGGAGTTTGGGCACAGGCATCAGTTATGGCTTGAAGTTGAGCTCCCAGAATTTGCTGGAACAAGATTTGGATTGCCTTTCTTTCCTCTCTCTCTCTCTCTCTCTCTCTCTCTCTCTCTCTTTCTCTTTTTTAAATGGAGGCGGGTTATATTAATCATTGGCCAAAAAGTTTAGTCCTGCCAACTACGCCAGCTGTCACGAGCGCTTAATTAGGCTGAAGGACTTTAACTGAGACGCCACAAAGGGCGGCAAGGTATTGATAAAAGCCAATGCCAGAATGATTTTTGAATTTTAATCCCACTAATCACACAGATATCTAAGAGTTGCCTAGCACATTATACATCTTATGGGGAATACAACCTGGCCACAGGTATGGGCTCGGGACACTTTTGCCTCCGGCTTTGGGTGTCTTTTAGGTCCTGGAACTTCTCAGTTCCAGCCGGGCCTCAAACGCATCTTCTGATGACTTGATAGGCCTCGGAGCTTCTCTGCTCCAGCCAGGCCTCAGATGCGAAGAAGCTGTGGTTGCTCGGGAGCCACCTTCCATGGCCAGTCTGATAAGGTGGTCCTCTCAGAACTGGTTTGTTAAGGTGGTCTGGGCTTTTCAAACAACCGTTTGGGAATTGGCTGGTTAGTGGCGGGCTCTCAGTGTACTCACTAAAGAGTCTGGCCTGCCGAGCCCAAGTGGGCTCTGGCTCCAGTTTTTATACATTTTTCAGGGCATAGCTTTAACTTATCATTCTTTCACACGCACGCACACACGTCAGCTGCCTTAAGAGCGTTCTTAGTTACTATTACTACGAATATCTTCTTATCTATCCTTGCTTGACAGCTCTGCTGTCTTACAAGCTCTCAGTGTCTTAGGGGCGTTGCCCAGTCACTGTCACCAAAAATGTCTCTTAACTTTTGCTCCTGACAGCTCTGCTGTCTCACAGGCTCATTACAGGTAATCACACTTGAGCAGACTGGCCCCTGCAAGATGGCTTGAAAAAGTCCCATTGTGTGAGGGGACGTGCTGGTTCTCAGGAGAGGGTCCCTCCTGCTCCCTTCCGGGTGTGCAGGGTCACCTGAAGACCACTTGCCCTCCTGTGTGGGAGGGGTTGTCCCCACAAGGTGAGTGCAGGTTTGAGACCCTGGCTTGTCTCTGTGCCTTTGGCTCAGAAGGGTGATGGGGCAGGCCAGGGAGGCTGAGACAAGCAGGAGTCTGAGGTAAAGGAGACGGGTACAAGACTGAGAGGGAAGGCTCCTCCTTTCAGTGACCTTCTGGGCCGCTGGAGGAGTCCAAACCCTCCTCTCTGCCCAGGGAGCCTCCCTAAGTCTCGCCTCACCCCATGACTATCCGTAGCTCCCCAGGACCCTCCGGTGAAGCAACATGCTGAGACCCTTTATCTGGCCTGCAAGGCCCTGCGTGATCCTCAACTCCCATCCATCCCTCTCCCACACGCTAAGCAGCTTGTTCCCCAGGCTAGTGTTGCTCATCTCAAAGCCTTTGCCCATTTGGAGTGCTGGGTCCTTCAAGACCTTCCTTTATATCCCTGTCTCCATGCTACCACAGTGGGGACCATGCCTTCCCCAGACCCAGCATGGTGTTATTTTTTGTTTGTTTGTTTGTTTGTTTGTTGTTTTTCAAGACAGAGTCTCTCTGTGTAGCCCTGGCTATTCTGGAATCACTCTGGAGACCAGCCTG